ATGCTTCCGTTGAACATGTAGACCTTTCTAATTTTTCATCTGATCTTGCAAATGATCTAATTTTTTTTTTGATGAAACACATGATTTAGATATTCATCTTGGAAAAAATAAACCCAGGAGAATGAGTGCAAAAGCACTGCAAAGGGAACTTGCATTCCTAAATGATTTTGAGGTTTGGTTTTTTTAAGAAATAAATAACCATATATCTTGTATCCTCTGCTGCAAAGGAAAGTGGCACAAATCTTCAAATGAACCAAAAGTTTAATTTTAACTTCAAGTTTATGTTACACCTAGTGGAAGATCTGCTATTCTGAAGTAAAGTTTACGGGACCCTAATTTCATCGTAATATTCCTCATGAGGTGACTTCAGTGAAGCTGGGGTGGCCTTTGTCTCCAGCAAATATCTTAAAACATAGGCTTCACCTACTACTTCTCTCTTCCTGCATGTCCCTTTCTCCTTTTTCCTCCTTCCCTCCTTGTGCACACGCATGTGCGCACACACACACACACACACACACACACACACACACGTCCAATTGTAGAAAGGGAACAAAATGTTTTCAGAATGATAGACTTGCTGAGGGGGGCACAATTAACAAAAAGCAAAAGCCAAAATCCCCCAAAACCTATTTTATGCTTTGATGCCGAAGCTGTATTTTCTGTGCTATGTTTAGGTTCTTCTTATAAGAAAAAAAAATTGTTTTTACCAACAGATTTTTAAACAGCAGGGACAGGCTTATTATTTACTGCTTTGGTATCTTTCCCTCATTTACATAAATACCCCAGAAACCAGCAGTTTAAAACTAATAAAAGCCAAGGCCTTCCATCAAGTGCAATAAAGTTTTACAACCATGAGTTAGACTGTTAGAGTGAAAAATAAAGCTATATATGTGGTTATGAAGGGTTTTTTATTTTTCCCTGAAAAGTGTATAATCACATTTCAAAGTTAGAACTTCCATTTGAAGTAGCAACGTAATAATAATATTTAAACATTTATGTAGAATACTCCGTCTTTGAAACTCTCCCAACATTGGCCAGTTAATCACCACTGCTTCCCTAAGGAGCAGGTATTCCTGTGTGCCAGTATTCTATGGAGAAAACTGAGGAAGGTGTTGCCCAGAGAGGGAGGGCTGGGGAGTCGAGTTCTGTCTCTTACTGTTCAGTAACTCTTCGGGAGGGAACTCCGAATAGAATGTGTCGAGTTTCTGTTCTCTCTTGATGAAATCACTAATAAAACAATGATATAAATAGAAGCTCAGTCGGTCTCAGGCTCCGTAGACAGAGTCCTGACCCTTCTGTGGCACATCTTTTGGAAGGAATGGCGTCTTAGTCCATTTTGTGTTTTTGTACAGAATCACTGAGGCTGGGTTATTTATAAAGAAGAGAGGTTTGTTTGGCTTATGACCCAAGCGTGGTCCCAGCAGCTGGCTAGGGCCTTCTCGGGGCACAAAGTGTCAGAAAACTGAATAACCGTGTGCAGAAGAGGTTGTGCACACAGGGGTGGCCTCTTATAACTGCCCACTCTTGCACCCACCTACCTACCTGTGGAGAACTGTATTAGTCCTTTCTAAGGGTGGTGCTCATGACTAATCATGCCCCAGTGGGGCCTGCCTCTTAAGGGAGAGGTGCCACCTCTTCTCAGTATTGTTGACTAAGACCTCAGCACATGAACCTTTGGGTGTCACGCTCATAGCAAGTGGGATAAGAAGAGACAGAAAAGCCACAGCACATGGTGTTTACTCTTGAAAGTGAGTTGGACTAAACTTCCATAAATACTTCCTCCCCACTCATTTTCTCTTGGCAAGTTAGTTTTCCAAGTAAGATTTGCTAAGATTAGTCCATTTAAAGAGTTGAACAAATGTACTATGCACATTAAAGCCATAGGAACAGTAAAATAAAGCTAATGAACATTTACATTTTGGGAAATATAATTAATGTATGCTTGAAAAATTTTGCAAGATAAACATTTAAATGTTAAAATACTTACTACCTTCCCCACAGGGACATTGTTGGGAATTAATGAGATAACAAATGTAAAGTGCTTTGAGCTCTTTAGAAGAAAGGTGCCAGATGAATACAAATGATTATTAATTGTGAAAGCTGTAAGATGGTTCTAATATATTACTTATGATAAAATACATACTTTATACCTGAAAAATAGGATGCTTACAGTTGTTAGAATGACATAGCTGAGATAACAGGCCTCAAACTTCTTCTTGCTTATTTGACATTTTGCTAAGAGAACTCTTCCAGCCCTTCCAGTTTCTTGGCCTCATATTCATGTCTCCAAACTGTGGGACACGACTTTCCATCCCTGAAACCTGGGTGCTTCCTTATAGCGTTCCCTCGCTAGCCGTGCAGACTCCTCACCAGAGGAAAACTCTCTAGCCACCACTTTCTCCTCTCCTGCCCTATTGTGTCATGGAATTGCAATGTCCTACCACGTTGCCAATCACACAAGTCAGTATTACTAGGAGGAGGAATGCATAAATTAAGCTATTTTTCTATATTTAAGTAACACACTAGACTTTGCTATAGAACAGAGCAAACTCCTTGATCTAAGGCAAATGAAACATACTAGAAATTCTGTACAACACATTAGAATTTAAGGCAAAAAAGGGCAAATCCAAAAATGATTTTCATTTGGCCTAAAGCACAGGGTGAGATACTAAATCATAATTTCCTCCTACGTAAAATGAAGATAGTAGTAGAACCTACCTGCATGGATTTGTTGAAAAGATGCAATAAGTAAAACACACACAGCGTAAGTACAGTTTAAGTACATAGTAGCAGATGGTTAGCTATGGGGAAGGACATCACAGGTTGCCATTTAATATTATCTTTTAGTTGGCTTTATTAAGGCTAGTATCAAAGGGTAATACACTAAAGGAGATCCTTTTTTTCTTTCTTTCTTTTTTATACAGGGTCTTGCTATGTAATTCAGGCTAGCCTTGAACTCACTGCGTAGCCCGGGCTGGCCTCAAACTCACAGTAATCCTCCTGCCTGAGCTTCCCGAGTGCTAGGAGTATAATTTTCCTATGATGTTCTCCTAAGTAAATTTCCTAAAAAATGGCTCATCAATGTCCAAGAATCCTATAACAAAGTTTCAGTTTCTATTTAGAATAGTAAAAAACTCAATAATTCATCTTGACCAAATTGGGATACCAGACATTGTGCACATATAATTGTTTCAAACTTAATTTAGTTTACCAGTAGCACAGTATCTTTGTAACATATATGTGCTAAAAGATACTGGCCTGTGCTTCTTTTCAAATGTTCTGTAATTAAAACATTTCAGTAATTTAATCTGGTCCTCTGGCTTCTTCTACTTAATTACCTGATGTGATTGTTTTACTACACTAATTTTCGTCTTTCATTTTGAAGGAAACTGTAGGTGTTCAGGCAGAGAACCTTAGTCCCAATCCCTGGCTGAGGAGTTTGAGTCTGGCTAGGAGGCCTGGATTATTTGCAAACAGGCTTTCTGTGGTGTATGCTAATGATGTATGCAAAGAAGGCAAGCAGCATTGTTTGAGAAACCAATCATGTGGGCTAAAAAATGGTACAGGGGAGCGAACTTGTTTTGCTGTTGCCAGCAGCTCGAGGCTCAGGAGTGCTAATCAAAATCTGCACACAAAACTTCCCTGATGGATTTAACAGTTTTGTACCGTGAAGCGGGGTTTTTTGCCATGTGAACGATCCACTGCTGTGCTGAACAAAACAGAGACAGTTTTCTTTTAAAGTCCAGAGCAGATGAGAGCCATAAGGAGGCAGAGGGTTTCATTTACTCTCAGGACACGATCGTGCCAGTGAACTAATGAGTCTCTTGGACCTTATGCTGCTCTGGCTTCAAGAGAAGAACGACTCCGATGGGCACATAATGCTTCCTGTCCATCCAGCGTCTGGACAATAGGCCCCTCGTATGGATCAGAGAAACCTGGCAAGAAAAAGGGGTCATCCTCGCACCTAGCGCAGGCAGGAAACCTGGCTAATTAATATATTTCCAACGATGGCAGAACAAAAACTGACACAGAGAACCATTAATTTTTATTGCAGAAACTCATAGCCTGTGGCTGAAACACAGTTAAAAATTTATTGAAATTCCGTAGTTGAAAAACTACTCATTTTCCCAATACAATCAACCATTTTTACAGATATAAATGTTATTCTGTACACTGTATGTGACTTGCAAATTTCACTCCAGTAAAGCTGATGTAGCAATAGTCTGCAGCGAATGGGGAGGGTTGATGTCACATTGCATAACGTTACCAGTTTCGTTTTAAAAGTACTGTTGAATTCCGCTTGTAAAAATCCTACAGCCATATTAAGTGGAGAGAACTAGAGAAGGACAAATGTTTATTGAAGCCGAGGCATCAGTTACACTGTATCTTAAACTAAGAGCAGATGCTGCCACCTAGACATGTTCCTGTGCTTTGGTTACTAGATGACAGCTCTTCCTACTTCTCGAAGAAAGACAGTAGCAACAAACAGTGGGGGCTTGGTACAGGAAACATTCAGAGAATGATAAAGAATCATTAAAAGTTCCTATAAATAGATGTGTCTTAATACAAAGAAAATTTGTGTTTTGACAAATAGTGACCCTGCTTTTATTCAGTGTTTTTAAATGCAGATAAATTACTCTTAGAAATAGGAGAAGACTTTATAAAACATTAAAAAAAAAATGAAGCTCATAGAAAGCCAGATGTAGAAGAGATATGGGTCAGACTTGTAAATTTGTTCTTTTATCAGATTATTTTTCCTAACTTTTGGAATGGGATTAACATTATTGAGTGAAAACAACCCCAAGTTTTGGTTTAATAAATAAAGTGAGAATACTTAATACATTTTCAAAAAGAATAATTCATTCAAATCTGTTCTGATTCATGTCTTAGCAAAAAACCTACATTCATTCCACCCCTCACCACGTTTATTCTTAATACCAGAAGAAATGTTGCCCTTTCTTGCTCTAGCTGGGATTCCCAAATCGTAACGTGCTTGAGGATCACTTGTGAGCCGTGGCGATGTCTTCATCATCTCTGGACTGTAGTTCCTCTTCAAATCTCATTTTGTTTTCCCTTGTTACTCCTAGAATGCCTTCAATATCATCAATGGTGGTCTGTAAATAGCAATAAAAATAATATTCATTATTGAAAGACCTGGTACAAACCTCCTCCTTCCACGCTTGTATTCCTTTTTGGAGTTTAGAATGGTTCAGACAAATTCTTCTCAAAGTTCGTTCCACTAACTGGTGCCCATCTATAAATCATTGGTTACAAGGCTTGTTGAAGTGAATAAAAAAACGTGGAAATATTAATAGAATTCTTACGCTTGCTAAATCTAAAAATGTAGACTGTGAGCTATATTGTACATCTTTAATTAGTTCATTTCTCTAGTAACTCCATTTTGCTGCATTTAAAAAAAGGTATTGATCCCTGACAGGCCAGAAAAAAAAATAGATTCTTCACTGCAGAAAAAAATACTTGTCTAGTCATGTTAAAGTAAGGCTTAGTAAGCTGAGGAGGGTTTATTTGCTTGGTTTTTTGAAAAAAGAATGATATTTTCCCATTTTCAGTTAATTGATTAAGTTTTGGCAGTGCTGGGGATCAAACACAGGACTTTGCTGGGCAAGTACTGTACACTGAACTGCATTAATCAGTTTAATTAATTCACTTAAAAATTGAGGTATAATTCACATATCATAAAATTCACTCTTTAAAAATGTACAATTCAATGGCATTTAGTGTATTCATAGACAACTAGCACAGCTACATAATTTCAGAACATTTTCATCACCCCAAATAGAAACCCTATTCCCTGTTTCCCTTCTCTCCCTCAGCCCCTGGCAACCATTAACCTATTTTCTGTCTCTGTGGATTTGGCTACTCTGCACATTTTATATACATGGTACCATAAAAATATTTGTCCTATGTGACTGCCTTCTTTCACTTAGCATAATATTTTCAGTGTTCATAATATAGCACAAATTGTCAGAACTTCATTTCTTTTTTATTGCTGACTAATATTCCATCACATGGATATTATTCATATATTTGAATTCACCTATGTCTCTGTTTTAATTGTGTTTGGTTTGTGGTGCTAAGGCCTGAAAACAGGTGCTAAGAAAGCCCTTGACCACTAAGCTGTATTCCCAGTGCCTGGAAGCTTTTCATTTTAAGTCCAGTGTATGTATTTTCGCTCAGGTTGTTTATGCTGTAGGTATTGCATGTAAGAAAAATTGCTAATCTAAGGTCATGAAGACTTATACCTGTGTTTTCTTCTTCTAGGAATTTTACAGTTTTAGGTTTTACATTTAGGTTTTTGATTTAACTTTTGTATATGGGGTCTAACATCATTATGTGTTCGTGGATATCCATTTGTTCCAGTAGCTATTATTAAAAAGACCATTCTTGCTTCCACTGAATTACTTTGGCACCTTTACTGAAAAATCAATTCATCATGTTCGGTTTTATTTCTCACCTTTCAAGTCTAGTATATGTCTCTTTTTATGTTACCACACTATCTCGTACTGTAGCTTTGCAGTGAATTTTGAAATTGAGAAATGTGAGTCTTCCAATTCTGTACCCCTCCCTCCACGTTAAGTCCCATGTCCTTCCACACCAATTTTAGGATCACCAATTTTAGGATCACCTTGTCAATTTCTATTTTAAAAAAAAAAGCCAGGTGGAATTTTGATAAGAATTGAACTGAATCTAAATAATTTGAGGAGGATTTCAGTCTTAACAATATTAAGAACATAAGATGCTCTCTTATTTATTTAGGTATTCTTTAATTTTTCTTGCTGATGTTTTCTATTTTCTGTGTGTCAGTATTGGACTTCCAGGGCCCACCAGATAGCTCCGTGGTCTAAAGTGCTGCTTAGGCAAGATTAGGCAAGCACATGGGGATGTGGTTCAATCCCTGGTACCACATGACATGAATCACCAACCCCGCCCCCAGGGTGCCACAAAAATGGACTTCCATTAAGTTTATTCTTAAATCTTTTAATCTTTTTGATGTTATTGTAAATTGAATTGATTTAATTCTATTTTTCATTGCTGTATATAGAGATACAGTTGACTTTTATGTACTTGCCTGATGTCCTACAGCCTTGCTCACCTTGTTTATATGCTGTAATAAACAGTGAATTCTTTAGGACTTTCTATACCCAAGAATTTGCTCTTTGGAAATAGAGATAGTTTTCCTTCTACTTTTCTAGTCTATAAGCCTGTTTCTTTTTCTTTCCTAACTACTCAGTCTCGAACCTCTGGTACAGTAATGAATAGAAGTAGCAGAGATGACATCCCCGTCTTCTTTCTCCTCTTATGGGAAAGCTTTCAATCTTGTTTGATTTACTATGGATATTAGTTCTTAGATTTTTGTAGCTACTCATATCATGTTGTGGAAGTTACCTTCTGTTCCTACTTTGTTGAATATGTTTATCATAAAAAGTTTTAGGTTATGGGGTCGTGGAGATAGCTCAGCAGAATAAGTACTTGCCTAGCAAGTACAAGGGCCTGAGTTCAATCCCTCGTTCCTCAAAAAAAAGAAAAAAAAAAATTAGGTTTTGTTCAGTGCCTCTCTGCATCACCTTCCATGTATATTCAGTCTTTACTGGTATATCTTTGTTTACAAAATGAAAATACCTATTTGAAAACTACTAAGTAGTACTACTAAAATAAATCTCCACATTTCAATTGTTTGTTATAATTCCTATATTATTGAGATATAAAGTTCTTATCCTTAGATTTTTCTAACCTGAGAAAGCTAGAAATTATGATATATTTAAAGGTTACCTGAGGGGCTGGAGAGATGGCTCAGTGGTCTAAAGCACCTACTTAGAACAAGCTTAGCAAAGCATCGGGGACCGCGGTTCAATCCCCAGCACCACATGCCAGCCAGCCCGCCCCCTGGTGGGCTGAGCTGGCCACACACCTCTCTCTCTCTCTCTCTCTCTCTCTCTCTCTCTCTCTCTCTCTCAAATAAATAAAAAAAAAATAAAGGTTACCTGAAAAAAAAATAATAGCCTTTTTAATGATTTTTGAAGACCAGAGAAAGAATGGGGAAATAGCTTTTACTTTTGTTAAGTGTGGTTGGTTCTGCCAATATCAAGTTCAAGTTGAGTTCACTTAGTGGATTTGAGGATATACTATCTGATTCTGATTGTTAGCCGTATTTGGGCAGGCTTAGCTGATCACAGGCAGACAGTTTCAAGATTTGGTACAAGTACCAACAGGTAAAATAGTGCTTAGCTGCAGGAGCTTAATACGTGAATAATAAGTAGAGATCTTATATTAGTCTGTTTTTTGTTGCTATAGCAAAAATACTGGTGGCTTGGTAACGTGTAAAGAAAAGAGATTCATTTAGCTCACAGTGTTGGAGGCTGGAAGTACAAGATTGGGCAGCCCCATCAGTTTGGCCTTGAGTGAGGGTCCTGTAGGCTGCATCATTTCATGGCAGATGGTATGATGGGATCTCTTTCAAGAGGGAGAAATCTCATAATGAAACAGGAAATGAGAGAGCTGGGAGGGGCCGCTCCTGCTCTTTGGTAACAACATTTTGAACAGTGTCCTAGAAGAATCACTCTTGGGGACACACTCAAACCATATCGAAATCATTGCACATCTCTTAGCACCAGTGAGTATTGGTGTAACACTCACTCTGTGTTCATCAAATCTTTTCAGTCACATTGCAGAAAAAGTAATGGTTATTCTCCTATTTCTTATAATCACTTTAAAGCACTGTTCATTGCTATTGTTAATAAAGAGATCTGGCCCTAGTTTGAAGTAAAAATATTATATTCTTATTAAGACTTGTGTGACTTTCTGTTTAAGAGAGAAAAACATATGTGCTCTCCACATGAGTCCTTTGGTTACTTGGCCCATTCTAATGCCATGGAGGCCTATGCTAGGAACCATTGCTGATCAATACTAAGCCATTGTCTGTGTTCAGCCAGTGTCTCAGATCTGCTGCACAAGCCTTGCTCCTATATTTTAGAATTTAGAGACTTCTAGTCAATACATATATCTTGATTTCAACTCTAGCATCTCTAGAGGCCTTGTGCAAGCTTCGGAAGGTTACTGGTGAAACTTTGGAGAAGTGGGGTGGAGCAGATGGTTTACAGATATTTGGGGATTTTTTTTCTGCCTCTCTTTAATTCACATTCTCTTTAGGCCTCAGAACTTCTCTGGCTGTAAAAACTGGGACTCCCCATCAATCAGCAGCCAGACACTGTAGTATCTCAAATACAGACAGAGTATACTCATGAAGTTTGGTTGTGACAGTCTCTATTTGGCTCCATGGTGCTATTTCAGCTTCACCTCCAACATCAGAAAGTGCTGTTATCTCTTGAGCTTGGATTTGAAAATGGCAGCAAGTTAAAGTGAGTCTGCTGTATTTCAAAGAAAAAGTTTCAAACTATTAAATTTAACTAACGGGTTCAGTGGGAACCTTACAATATTGACCCTGCACATTGTAAAATATGTACTGCTTACAATTTAAAAAAAAAAGATGGTTTAGCACTTGTTTACAATACAGCATGAGGTATTTTCAGCCCTTGTGTAGAAATTAACCAGGATCGTTAGTTAATTAACACCTCACCTTAAAATTGGTCTCGCCTTGCATATTAGGTGCTGATATTTCTTGATGGATGATGAAGAGATTGCGAGCAAAGGTCATGAGGACCCCCTGGAGATCCACACCGATTGTTCTGTTAATGATATCCAAACAAATGAGTTTAGCAATGATTCCCCTCACATGCTTAAAAACAATGGCCCTCTCATTTGTGCTGCTGGTGATGGAATTTAATGAGTATTTTCAATCTCACAAGGTGGCAATCTTCAGGGAGATATGAAAGATGAGGCTCCATTTTAACTTGTCAACAAAAAGGATTTGTGTAATAAATATTTTTTATTAATCAACTTAGCAGGATAGAGCAATAGGCTTAGTCAGTTCTAGCAAAAGACTACTACTGAGGTGGGCAGTAGTAGCTCATTTTGCAAGCTCCGTTACTTAAAGCAGATTGTTGCTAAATCCTTTTCCTTGTCCATAGAGACATTTGCTCCCCAGATCCTGGAGGCCTTTGTCTGGGTTTATCTTCTATTTTAAGTGTACTGCTTTCCACTGAGGATCAAGGACATCGCATCCCATTCACAAACAGCTGTCTTTGTAAAACTGAACCCTCACTTTATGGTTTCAGAGACAAACTATCCTGTAGCATTATGCTGTGGTCGCTGAACATTCCCGAACAGCTAGATGGTCGTATGTTTTAACTTGAAAACAAAACTCCAGGGTACATTCCTAACTTTTTCTTAAACTTTTATTTTAATTAAAAAGGGGAGAAAAGGTTAATTGAAAGGAATAAATTTTAAAAATTGTTTTGCCATGAGATCTGAACATAAAGAGCTGCTTCTTAAGGCAAATGTAACACTGTGAGCCTGCTCCTCTCCCCAGCCTCCCTGCCCCCTTGGTTCAGCGTGGGATGAAAAGCTGCCCAGTCCCTAAGACAGGAGACCCGGGCTCTTTGTCTCGGCTCTTTGTCTCGTCACTGACTGGTTGAAGCTCTCTGGGTCTTCATTTCCTTTGCTTTGAAATGAAGGAATTGAACTAAGCGCATCTGAACTTTTTGAGTCATGTTCCTAAAATCCAAGGATGGCCTACGTCTCATAGCTGCTAAACATTAGTATTTATTCTTTTAAGAAAATAAATAATGGCCAAAGGCAACTTCAGAATCAGTAATTTTGAAAAGCAATTTGTGTTTTTGTTTCTGTAACCACAGGATTAGTATGTATTACACCTGGGTACATCTTAAAACAACCTTCCTGGGCTCCACCCAGAATTAACAAAAGCAGAACATTTGGTTGGGGGCCAGGGATATATTGTTTCACTAAGCCTCTAGGTGATCCTCAGATATATACTAAAAACAGCAATCCATTCTTAAAAGAAACTATAGAGCAGTGAGAGGAGAGGGACTGAGAGAGAGAAGAGACCAGGTCTCTATTGTATTTCTTGTCCCCTTCCCTGTTAATTCATTTCCAGAAAATTCTTCATTTTTCTCTTTCTTGAAATTTCTCCATTATTTCCCAGAAATATCCCAGGATGAATGGGTGAGGTTATCCCCAAGGCCAGATCGTAAATCTCTGTTCAGTAAAATCATCCTCTCGTGAAGCCCCCTCACCTTTCATGACAACCAGGAAGCAGAGAAGGGAGGAACCCAAGAGGATTACCAAGCCAAGACCCCAGTAACCTCCCTCTTCGGACCAGGCTGCATCCCCTGGCATCACACTTAGCTGCATCACCCCCTGAGGCTGTATGGGGACATCCAGATATAAGCCATAACATCACCTCTTCTCTGAGCTCCTAGTCAGCCTCCTTTTCCTGATTCTCAGATTGTCCTTTTGCTCTTCAAGGTTGGAACTTCCCTGATGTTATGAGCTGGTACCATCCAGGGATGTCCTGCAGGCATCCAGATCTTGAGTCTGGATTTGACCTACCTGGCTGTACTTCTGCTGTCACCAGAAAGGAGTTTTTGCCTCTCTGCCTTACCTGTCTGCAAGAGGGTGTGTCTAGCTCCAAACCTGGCCCCACACATCCTGTGCAGTTTAGTGGAGCAGAGGACTCAAACATTCATATCCTCCTCTTCCTGGCTAGTAAGGAGTGTTTAAGACTTTAATCACTGAGTTAAATTATAGCCACATTCTAGCTTCAAAAGGGGAAGACATCTGAGCATTTGCATACGTTCAAGAGGATTGATGAGGTAAACTCACTTCCAGCAGGACCGTGCTTAGTGTTCACACGCTTTGCAAACACCACACCAGGGCCAAGGCTGGACCTGGCCCGACCTTTTGGAGGAATAGCTTGCTAAGTCACTTGAGCACTTCTCTGTGAATGCAAGAATAACAACTGTCTTTCCACAGTTGAGACATCTGAACTGGCTTCCTATCAGTCAGATCTGTTGTCTCTTGTAAGTTATGGACTTGAGTAAGATATGTTAAATGTACTGTACACCCTACCCATGGATTTTGGATAATTTTTTTAGGAACACTGACCAACACAGCTAAAGTCATCTTATGAAATAACTGAAGGTCTAAATAAAAACAAGACAGACTTCCTATAAATTAGCAAGCTGATGAAAAAGCATCATGTTAGTTGTGATAATCTATTAGCTTTTATTACATCCTATAGAAACTTCGTACTCACAACATGCCCAGCTTGTCTCTCTTCAGGTGCTCATATAATATAAAAACAGTTCCTTGTCTGTCCTGTAAGATTTGAGTAAAAACAAAAAGAAAAGAGCATACATATTATCTTGGAAACAAAGAAAATACACTGAGTACTAAAATTGATTCAAAGTGAAATCTAGAGCTAACATAAGAAGCTCAAATGTACTGTGAGAAGCACATTTGAAAAGGCTATCTCCGTAATATAGAATAGGTATGTTCTAGGACATGTTTCTTCAATATGTTCCCCAGTACACTTGCATCAGACTCATCTAATGTGCATGTTAAAAAGACATAAGACCAAGCTTGGTGGTGCACGCCTGTAATCCCAGTGCTGGGGAGGCCGAAAACAAGAGGATCACTGAGTCCGAGCTGTGTAGTGAAACCTTGTAGCAAATACATAAGAAAAAAAAAAAAAGACATTTCTAGCTGGGTGTGATGGCACACACCTGTAATCCTAGCACTCAGGCTGAGGCAGAAGAGTGCCACAAGTTCAAGGCCAGCCTAGGCTATATAGTTAGTTCAGGGGCAGCCTGAACTATACAGCAAGACCCTGTCTCAAGAAAATTTTAAAAAAGACATTTCTCAGAGCTCAGTGGTAAAACATTTGCCTACCATGCATGAGGTGTGAGGCTGCATTCCCATCAATTCAAATAAATAACCATTCCCCCACATTTTTATGGGTATCACCCAAACCCAGAATCCTTCAAAGGGAATCTGCCTTTTAGCTTATTTTCTGGGTGTTTGTCCTGCACATCGAAATTTGAAGACCACTGTTATTAGCATGCTCAGTCAGCAGCCTGGCGTGCTGGAGCATGCCTGTAATCCCAGCACTCTTCAGGCTAAAGTTGGTAGAAGGGTTGCAGGTTCAAGCTCAGCGTGGGAAACTTAGCAACCAAGGAAACCCTGTCTTAACATAAAAGATGAAAAAGGGGTTGGGGATGTAGCTTAGTGTGAAGACCCTAAGCTCAATTCTCAGTACCCCCACCCCAAAAAGTAAGACATTTGTTGTGTAGGTAATAATTTGTACTTCAATGGAAAATTGTGCATTGTTGACTGCATATCCTGTTCCCTTAGCAAATGGATTCAATGGGAGATATTTTACAGCTTTGTTAAGTTGTAAGAAACTGACAGACAAGCAAGTTCTGTCTAGTTCAGTGAAGGTTTGTTTGATTCACTCTCCTGCTCCTCTTACACACAAAGCTGTTTTGCCGGGCGTGGTGGGGCACACCTGCAATCACAGCACTTGGGAGGTTGGGGCAAGAGGATTGCCGTGAGTTTGAAGTCAGCAAGGGCTACATAGCAAGTTCAAGGCCAGCCTGCACTCCGTAGTGAGACCCTGGCTCAAAACACAAACAAAAAACTTTTGTTTCCATTTGCTCATTTACTTCAATATGCCTGATCTATACAGATACCTGATTTTTGAATTCTCCTTTGAACTAGTTTTGAAAACCTGTCTAGTTGCCTCTGTTAAATAAAATTTTTATCATGTTTATTTTGTATCTGTAAGATATGATAAACTTTTGAAAATTGTCTTTTAACAACTGTCTCTAAATAAGTGACTCTAGAATTTCCAGTAGTAGAAATATGAACTCCTCATCCCTGGATTTCCAAATGTGAAACTATAGGAGGATTTGGTAAGAGAAGACACGTCTCAGAGGGTCTGGGATTTGGCTCAGCGGTAAAATGCTTGCCTAGCAAGCTGGAAGCCCTGGGTTCATCCTCAACACCAACCAACAAATCTCCCCAGAACTATATGATGACAAGTAGCAACACCCTACTTTGTCAGGAAATCTGAGCATTAAGGCATCAGTGGACGACAGCAGTGGCTTTCAGTGCTGGCTGCCCATTAGATTCATCTGGGTGCTTTAAAAATATCGTGCCTGCACCCTGCCCCCCAAAATACCAGTTATTTGGTCTACAGTGCATCCTGGGCACAGAGCCATCATGAGGCACATTGGATGGAGCCGGAGGTGGGGGGAAGCAGTCAGTTTTTACTAAAAACTAAAAGTTCTGGCTTTTTTAAAGTATTTTTTTAGTTCTGGTATTTTGTTCATAATGAAGTTTTATATTCATTTTGATTTTAAATATTGCATAAATACATTGTTTATATTTGTTCTGAGGTTTATTTCTGATCTAAAATTTTGTATTCAGCATGAGTGTTTCACTTGCCTCACCCTAATTGCAGCTGCATGGGCATCTTCTGTACTTTTAAAAGCCCCCAACCTGGGTCCTAAGAGGCATTATCTGATATGGCGGCTGGAGCTTGAATACCGGCTGTTCAAATCAAAATGTAGCTTTCAGAGACTTAGCACAAAAACTGTGAAGTATCTCAAAAGTTTTATATTGATTCTATTGAAATGAAAATATGTGGAATATAATGGGTTAATGAAATATATTATTAAAATTAGCTTTACCTATTCTTTTTTACTTTAAAAAATGTTGCTCTCACAAAAATTTAATCTTTTATTTATGTATCTGGTACAGGGTCTCCCTACGCAGCTTGGACTCATAGTGATTCCCCTGTCTCAGCCTCCCCAGTGGTGGGATTACAGGTGTGTGCCACCATGCCCAGTTTCTGTGGCGCCCAGGGTTCTGGGGCTGGCATAGCATGCGGTACCAGGGATTGAACTCTGGCCTTTGCACTTGCCAGGTGGGTGCTTAGACCACCACGCTAGAAAAATTTAAATAATTTATGTGGCTTACATTTGTGGTATGTATTATATTTCTATTGGACAGTTTTATGCTAGGGCTCTATTATTAATACAAATAAAACAAATCACTTCTAATAAGTGGTTCTTGCTTCAGAATTTTATGTTCAAATAGCACTGTATTGACTATCAGCAATCACTTTGCATCTAACCCCCACATGCAGAACAGTTTTATAGATCTGTCATTCCAAGGAACCCATGGATATTTATTGGATTTACCCCCTTCCAGTAATAAAATCCTTAGTTGACAGGGATTTTCTTTTAGTACTTTGAAACTCTGACCTACTTGTCCTCTATTCTGTATCAGTCTTTTTGCTCCTCTAAGAGCTTATTATATGATCTTTTTAAGTATATTTAGTACAGGGCCTACAGGGTCTCACTACACAGGTCAGACACATAGTGATCCTCCTATTTTCAGCCTCCCAAGGGCTGGGATTACAGGCATGTGCCACCACACTCAGTTTCAATCGCTGTCTCAGTGCATTCCTGGGGTTGGGGCCAGCACGGCACCCTTTGGATGGAACCCTGGTGGCTGTTAAGAGCTTATTTTTTTACAGCTACTTTTTAGATTTTTCCTTCCTTTTTGACTTTCAGGAGTACAACTATGATGTACCAGGTGTGATTTTCTTTACATTTATCTTGTTTAAGTTGTGTAGTGCTTTTTGAATATGTATCTTGGTATATTTCACCAGTTTTGGAAAATTCTGAGTGTTTATTTAAAATTGCCTCTCTTGCCAGGCATGGTGATGCATGCTTATAATTCTAGCATATGGGAAGCTGAGGCAGGACGATCCTTGCTAGTTAGAGACCAGCCTGGGCTACAAAGTGAGCTGAAGGCCAGCCTGAACTGCACAGCCAGGCACACCCACAAAAAGCTCCCTTTCTCCTTTCTTTCTGAGACCCTTAGCTAATGAATTATAGACTTGTTTTCCCATTTCCATATATTTTTTAAACCTTTATATTTTCATTTTCTCACTTCGTAATTTTGAATATTTGCTACTAACCTGTCTTCTATTTAACTAATCATTTAAAATTATCTCCTATACATTAATGTATTAAATTATTAATTTTGTCATAATTTTAAAATTTTTGTAACTTCTGCTTGCCTTTGAAAATAGATTGAGGGGTCAGGGGGAGAGCTCAGTAGAATAAATGCTTGCCAGGCAAGCGCAAGTTTCTGGGTTCAATCCCCGATGCTACAAAAAAAAGAAAAAAAAAGAGGAGAGATTTAGGACTTTGGTGGAATTATCCTATAATTCTAAAGAATATTCTATTATTTTCCTCTATTGTTAATATTAATCATAGTTATTTTAAAGTTCCTGTCTGATAATTCATTGTCTGAGTTACCCATAGCATTTTTCTATTTTTTTCTTTGTTTTTAATTACTTAGTCATTTCTTTTAACATGTCTTATAATTTTCATTGCATGCTGTTCACTTTAGGTGGAACATTAAGAGACTGTAGATTATGTCAGTGTCCTCAAAAAAGGGTTTTCAGTTTTGCCAGGCAGAGAGAGAACTAGAAACTAATCCTGATGTATAAAGAAGGATTTTAGGTGCTGGATCTGGCCTATCGAAGGCTTTCTCCTTCATATATTTGGTCTTCTCTCTTAGGCCAGTCTCCTTACTACTGGATTTTGGTTCTTCTAAAGTTTCCATTCAAATTTTGGGGTGTTTATTGGATCTCTTTCAACTTAGCAGGACATGAAATCCAGTCTCCTCCTCCTCAGCTTCATGTGGATTTTGGAGTCTTTGCAGATCTTCAGCCTTCCAGCTACTGTCTTCTTTAGCTGTTGAGATGTTCATTCATAGGGTAGGATTCAGCTGGTCCCCATAAATAGATTGTGGGTTCTTCCCTTGGATTACCCTTGCTCTAGGATTTTGGGATTAAATCCCAAACAGTTTGCCAGTTTTCAACTCCAGTCTTTCTCTCTCCTTAGCCCAGTAAGACTGTGATTTCTATTTGGATTACACACAATTCGGGAATATCTTCAAAGAAAACAATGGGGAAAGTATGTCACTAATCTTATATGCTAGAGGACCAGGGCTCCTCATACAGTGCTTGCTTTGGTTACTCTTCATGCCTTTAAACACTTACTTTATATATCCTTGTCCTACTTTTATAATCATGTTTGGTGAAAGAGTTAGTTGGATACAAGCTACCTTGTCGTAGCCAGAATAAATACCTAGGTTTTGTTGGACATTTACACCTCTCCAAGAAAGGTGAGCAGGAATCTTGTCATTCTTCATCCAGAAGTGACAGGCTGACTCAAAGCCCATAAACAACTGGTAAAGTATTACATACGTGGGAGATGCCAGGGCTACACTTACAG